TAAGAAGACGATATTCTATCAGGTCCTGCATAGGGTCATTTCTCCACAGTATTCTTTGATAGTCGATGTGATCCTTGTCAATTAAGATCATTCTGTACATTTTTTGGATATCTGCGACGAAGCACACAGCGTGAAAACGCCATCTCATGACTAGGCTTCTGAGGTCTTCTTGAAGTATTGGTCCTAACAAGAGTTCATCATTCAGTGAAATTCCATCAGAATTCTTACATGACGCATCAAAGACAACTCTTACCCTTGTAGTTTCCTTGTCTGTGCGGATTACGGCATGATGAGGTAAGTAAACTGATTTGTTATTTATTTCATTTACAGGTACTTCTTCTAGATGTTTAAGCTCCTTGTATTCCTCTATAACCTTAATGTATTCTTGTTTCAGCTCCATATTTTTCAATAATCTTCTCTCTAATTGCATAAATCTTCTTACTGCTATCTCTTTTGAGTTTCCATCTTGTGATCTAGGTTTTTCTGTTCTAAAAGGCAGTTTTACGATATATCTTCCATCCTTGTCTCTTTTGTGAGTTCTTTCGAAAATCTCTTCACACATGATCTCTTCTTTAGTAAGCTTTCTTTTCGTATCTGTATCTACTTCCCATATAGTTTTAAGCAAATCATCGATATTAACTTCTTGTTTTATAACGGTCAAAGAATTCACGTTCATATTGTGCATGTTTATTCCTCCCATCACTATCCATCCAAGATGAGTTTTTTGTGCACATGGTGTTCCTGGTGGACCTTTGATAAGTCCTTGTTGCAATATGACTGTATATTCATCCACGCCCAATAGTAGATCTATATTGCCAGTTTTGTAGAAATTTGGGTCGGCGAGGTTAAGGTCCTTTAGGTGTTGCCAGTTACTATCCATCTTAATTTTGGAAGGTAAGTTCGAGGTCAATCGTTTGGACATCACGTAGGCTTGTATTGGAAGACAGAAATTGGATTCCCATCGTGATAAAACTTGTATGTTGACCTCTTGTTTTACATGCACCTTCATTGATTCCATTCCAGAGACAACAAGATTCACTGGTCTTCGGTCCAGTTTAAGTATTTGAGTCGCCTTTTCGCTTATAAAGCATGCTTGAGATCCTGAATCTATTAGCGCCTTCAACAATGTAGTGTGGCCATCTGCACTTTTTACAATAACTACTGCTGTAGCTAATAGAGCAATCTTTGATTCACTTTGAAATGAGGAGGTCATTGAGTGCACTTGCTTTTCTTCCACATCAGAATGGGTTGACGTCGTCGGTTGAACAACTTCAGCAGATAATGTCGGCGAGTCGGAGTACTTAGGTTGATGTAAAAGAGTGTGATGACGTCTCCTGCAGGTGCGACAAGACATTCGCGAGCGACATTTGAAGGCGGAATGTCCTAATGCAAGACAATTGAAGCAGAGTTTATTATTCTTAACATAATCTTCTCGTTCAGCAGTATTCATTTTCTTGAATTGATCGCAGTGACATAATGTATGAGCATCCTTACATAGACTACAAGATTTTATTACCACCTTTTCAGAAGAAACGTGGAATACTCGTTCCTTTATAGTTTTCGTATTAGCAACGGTAGGTGAGATTAGTTCGAGTGTCCTAAATTTAGCTTCCAAAAACTTCTTCAGATGATGCCATGATGATAGTTCTTCACAATTCTCCGTATAGGCAACTTGTTCCCATTCCTTGTGAGACTCCGAGTCCAACTTCTGTACGACCAGAAATATAATTACTGGATCCCAGGAGTCCGTTGATATCTTAAGGTTTTGCAAACTTATCAAAACTTCACTAGTAGTATCCAGAAGGGATTATAAATTGCGCAGCTGTTTGATTGGAACATTTTTTTTGATTAAATAATCTTTTTAATAAAGAATTGACGATAAGTCGCTTGTTGCCGAAACGGTGGTTGAGAGCTTCCCATGCTTGAGCGTAATTGTCATTAGTCACCTTAATATTCTTTAATAAGGACGCAGCCTCACCCGTAATACTTGTCTTCAAATAGTGTAACTTCTGAACGTCGGAAAGAGAAGTGTTTTCATGTACCAACGAAACGTACAAGTCCTTAAATGTGGGCCATTCTTCATAATTGCCGGAAAAAATGGTTGTATGTGGATGCGGGGTAAATGTACGAGTGAGCTTATATGTGCTTCCGATGATGTATTCTGGGAATTGACCTGCAACTGGGAGCTTTTGGCGCAGGAAGCCTCCAGCATATCCTTTAAATCGGCCATCATACATAAATACAAGTCTTCCTGGATGTAAAAATCTTCATTCGCGAAATATGGTATCATGGACCTTTGTTCGCGCGTCGTACATTTAACTATGTCTTGATGTGTAGTCTTGAATGCACTCCAATATTCTTCAATACACTGAATCCGTGATTCTATATAGCCCTTGGTAAATCTTTGTCTCGGACACTTTTTTAAATTAACTTGAGTTTTTTTAACGAAGCAGCTTGATCTTCCAATAACCCCATTAACTTATCAAATTGCGTAGACATTTTGTAGTTTTAAACACTCAAATTTTGATAAAGTTCTTAACGTAATGTGTTTATAACGTTGTGCGTTAATTATTGCATAAAAATTGCACTGTCCGCTTCTTATTGCTAAGGGACTCGGCGTCTATTGTTCTTCGATGAGCCGCTGACCCAAAGCAGGTAGTCGATTGGGATCCGGCGAGAAGTCGACCATATGTTACTGGTAATAAGGTTGCTTACGGGTTGTCACACTTCCTTAAAGTAAACGAACGTCTGTCTTCTATGATATTTTATTTGCGACTAACAATTATAAAACAAAAACATGTGTGCATAGGGAAAGAGTGAAACAGGTGTAACAGTTGGTAATTTTTCCATAATATTGTTACTAGACCTCAATTTTTGACCTTGACTACCCGAATGGCCTAGTGGGTAGTGTACCTGTCTCCTGCATCAGAGGGTGTGGGTTCGATCCCCACTACAGGAAAAATATTGTGTGATGAACATAATGTTTTCTATTGTCTGGGTGTTTATGTATGTATAATATGTATTTATTTACACAAAAAAAAAGTATGTTTAAGTATGTTTTTCAGTTATCTAGTACCCATAGTACAAGCGTTGCTTAGTTTGGGACTAAAGAGCGATGTATAAAAAAATGTCCTAATTTATAATAAGTTATTTTTTGCAAAATGAAGCAGATTGTAACTTTGTATATTCCTATTGCTGCAGACAAAAAAGTAAAAGGCCCTTCGCACAGCTCCCATTTATCCAAGATTTAAGAAGAGGTATATTGAAGATGACACCTTCAAAATTTTAACAAAAAGTAAAGTTAATGCAAAAGTTAATACGATTTAAATCACCTTAACTGTCTCAATTCTAAAATAAAATTCACTTTGGAATTGGAGAATAGTAACTCTTTAGCTTCCCTAGATGTCACTCGCAATTCAAATAACATCTTAACCAGTAACATCTTAAGCCACGCTGTATATAAGAAGGCACCGGACACAAACCTAAATGGTGGCTACCACCATCTATCCCAGTTAGCTACCGTGAGTAAATTTTTATTTTCAGTGAACACAAGGAACATCTGACTGTTGAGCTACAACATGTCGAGCAAGTTCTGCATAACAACAAGCTTCAAGCACCGCACCTGCGTCATAGTGACCAAGTGGGACAAAGCACAGTGGAGCAAGTATTGATGTTCTACCAGAAGAGTCACCGAGGTGATTATTTCATTCTACAAACCGCGAAAGAAGATTACTCAGTTTTTACCATCTGACAAAAGCAAGATCCCTCTGCAAGAGCCGGAAGTTTCAAACAAAAAGAATAATAAAAACCCGTGTGAAAGAACATTTAGTTGACTTAAAACACAATAGATAATAGTCTGTGAGCATTGTGTTAGGCTCGCTGAGAGAGCGGATCCGTGTTTTTTATGTGAGAAGCTGGTAGATAGCAGGCAAGTAGTAATGGCAAGCAAGTAGATAGTTCACTTGATGTTAATTGATAATTGCCACCCGTCGACCCTAGATGCGTCAGTGTAGGAAGGATGCGGGGGTCAGATGTAGTGTGATAGTGTGGAGCCGTTGTCCCATTCTGTGGCAAAAATTACAGGAATACGCCGGAAACTTTCAGAATTAAATTGTGAAGTCTGGTTAAGACCAACCAGTGGCAATTTAACTCTAATAAAAATAGGTGTGTGTGTTTACTGCTAAGTGAAAACCTTTCACCGTATCTCCCCTTTTTGGGGGCACAAGAACAGGCTTAAAACTTCACACGAGTCGTGTAGTCGATGATGGCGCTGTAAAAAAAGGCACAACAATTGTCTAGTGACATTGCTAGAGTACACTACTGACATGCTAGTACTAACACTCAGGGAGAGTGGTAGTGTCAGAGGTATTCATTATTCTTATTTGTTCAGTGAGAATAAATGGATATACGGGTGCGCGACCCCGACTTGCTCAAGCTACAGTCTTTGTTCTCCCAAAAATCCTCTCCGCAATGACAGTATCCCCAACCTTCTCATCCTCTCTCCACCCTTATTGCCTATTACTGCTTGGTGGGCTCCCTAGCTTTGGCTCTTAACAAATCACCTAGATGAAGGCAATCGGAGTGAGTCAATAGTATTAAAAGTTTTTCGTCTGAGTTGTTGAGAACATGGTTAATCTTGTGAGTGTTTGTGATTGGTCTTACTCAGTTGGTACTCCTATAAATTAAGAAAATAATAAAAGTACGTACGTAAGCCCCGCGACTCTATCTTTCTGGCACCACGGCAAACACTAAAATCGAGAAGGAATAGCACATGCGTAGTCAACTGAACACATAATAGATAGCGACAGTTTTGACGCGAACAATGTGCGCGTGACTATATCGAATCGAGTTTTCCCACTACATCATTTGTTATCGATTTCATGTTATTATTTAGTTTAAAACATAATTTATGTCCAAGTGTTTTATTGTGATTTCGGACACAGATATACACACTACATATGCGTTCGCGCCAGTCTTGATATGGGAACAGTAAAGTGACCATGTACCGTTTATTTGCGTATGCACTCCTACTCAATATAATTCCAGGGCATTTCTGGCATGATAAGCAAAAACATGGCTGCGGCTACAGCTATGACCATCGCAACCGTATTCAACAGAAAAAGCATCGTCACCAGGAAGTCAGCGACTTCGAGAGACTCTCGCAGTGTGTCAAAACCGCTGACCGGATCCTGAAGACCAGCTGCACGCAGAGTCCGTACAGCAGGACTCGAGAGTTCCTGGGCGTGGAATTTTACTCGCTAAAGTATAACCTCCAGGAGTTCCCAGAGAACACCATTTCGGTCAAGGTCAAGAACCGCGTGATATACGTAAGAACAACCCAACAGGGTATACCGGACTTCACAGACTTGAGAATCCTGCCGCAATTCGTCAATTCGACTGATGCAGCCTGGTACTTTGATAATGGCATGCTCACAGTGCTGTTTTCTTATAAGAACAAACCAAAAACGGAGGTCGCATTGGATTGCGTCGAAATTGATAACAAATTAATCGTCGTGGCCAAGATGACACTTTTGAAGTTCTTAGGGAAACAGTAATGGAAGAAAGTCTCTCCAAATTCGTCGTATACGTATAATTTAATGTGTTAATGTTTACACTGCGTCACCTTTTGTTAGCTATGTTATCTTAATACACAAAATATAATTGCACTTTTTGTCTGTGAATTATAATAACGTTAACATCGCAGTTTATATTTTTGTCTGTCCGTCGTCTGTTTGTCAAGTCAAAGTCAAAGTCAAAGTATATTTATTCAAAGTATATTGAATAAATATACTTCAATAAGAGCTTAAGTTATTGAGCTCTTATTGAAGAGCTCAATAACTTAAGCTCTTCAATAAGAGCTTAAGTTATTGACGTTCAATAACTTAAGCTCTTATTGAACGTCAACAAAAAATCTACCACCGGTTCACTAAACTAGACCTGCACAGAGAAGAACCGGCAAGAAACTCTGCGGTCTTGTTCTTTTTGTCATATTTTTTTTTGATGCAATTATAAACACTTATTTAGGTTTATCTCTAAAGCAGAATGGGCGTTTTGTGAAATCGTGATTTGTTAATGCGCTCATAACTATTACTATGTTCTCCCGCAGACATCATAAGGGGAATCGAGTTTGGGCACATTTTCTTAACAGTTTAATTTTATCGTTAAAACTGAGATGTTATTTTGATTTGATTTTCTTAATATTAGGAGTCAATCTACTTTCATAACGGAAGCTGTAAGGCAGAAGTTAAACCTACCCCCCTCCCCCAATCAAGTAATACCGAAGTGATCGGTATCTGTAAAGGTATTAAAACCTACCCTAAACATCCCTACTAAATGCTGCGCTATACAGCTGCAATCCGGCGATAACAGTTTTAGCTTCGCAGTGTTTTGCTTAATATTGCTACTTATTTCAGGTGAGATGCCTTAAACAACCTTTGATATAAGTCACCTAAAACTACCTGGATACCAACTTGCCCAGACTTTAACCAGTCAGGTCTAATTGATATGCTTGTCGGAGCAGACTTATTCTGGGACATTGTAAGTTCCAAACAACATTCACTTGGTCCCAAAAATCCAATCCTACGAAGCTCTAAGCTTGGTTGGCTTATTGCTGGACCCATCTTTCTCCCTATACCTGTCTATGACGCTAAAAAGTGTGTGTAATTTCTATCGAATGATGAATTTCAGCCTAACTTGCATGATGAACTGTCAAAGTTCTGGGAGATAGAGAGGAAATTCTTTGTGAACGACACTTTATGGCCAACACTATTCGTGCTCCTGGTGACAAGTTCTCTATGGTCTTAGCTCTCCGCGAGGACCCTTAAGTATTAGGAAGCTCCTACTGCTTGGCTAAATAACGACTCTTGAGCCTTGAAGGCTGCTTTCGCAAACACCCCAAAACAAGTAAGCCTATACCGACTTACCGGTCACCTAAGTAGTTCCTTTAGCCTTTAGGCACACTATCTCTAGAATAATGTACTGGACAGACTCTAACGTCGTCTTAGCCTGGATCCAGTCAACGTAAAACCTTTGTCGCTAACAGGGTAGCCACCAACAAAGATCCCACCGGTCCTTCACAATGGCCAAAAATTGGTACCGCTTCCAATCCATCTGATCTAGTAAGTCGCGGTGTAGACCCTAATCAAATATATAACACCCTATGGTGGCATGGGCCTAGCTTTCTCATGCAGTCTGAAAAATAGTGGCCCATAGAGCCGTCACACGGAGTCAACTTACTTGAAGTGAAAACTCATCACGCTTTCGTCGGGGAGACTGCACAAGTAGGCTAGAGTAATTATCAAGTACTATTGTACTTTTCGTTCAAAATGTTCTATCAAGATTGCTAGGACATTTTTGACTTTGTCTTGTCATTCCCAAAGCACTCATATTAGTAGCGTCCATATACACACATAATATATTGTTAAAAACTTAACTACAAATTCCAGAAACATGCAAATAGTGTTTTCATTTTGTTCCCATATCGAACATCCGTTAATTTGTTTCATTCAATATGCATGTATATAATATTCTCGTAAAATACTTACTAACAAGACTTTTCAGGTGCACTCCTCCTCAACTTGGTAGCCGAGTATTTGGTTGGTGATGACCCTGGTGATGAGCTTGCACCACCGTCACCGCCCGTCGCACCGTCGTTCGCATGTCAGCGATTTCGACAGGCTCTCGCAACTCCTCGCAGAAGCCGACCAGATCCTGAAGGCCGGCTGCACGCAGAGTCTCTCCCGTGCGACTCGGGAGTTCATAGGCTTGGACTTTTACTCGCTAAAGTATAATCTCGACGGGTTCCGAAAGCCTGTTATTTCCATCAATGTGAAGAACCGCGTGGTATACGTGAAGGCCACCCGACGAGGGAAACGGGACTTCGAGGACTTGAGGATCCTACCGCACTTCGTCGATGTGAAGAGTGCAAACTGGTTCTTTGAAAATGGTGTCCTCATTGTGCTGTTTCCTTACAAGAACAAACTCAAGACGGAGGTCGCACTGGGTTGCGAGAAAATTGTCAAAAGGAAAATCGTAGTACCCAAGCTGAAAGTTTTGCGGAGTTATCTGAGGTAGGAAGAGCGAAAGTTACTCCCTCCAAAGTCACGCGATGTGTATCGAACCATTTGGTAATACTTGCATTATTTTGTTTATTCTCAATGTTATCTATACTGCAATATATAAGTTTTTTTTACAAGTTATGCTAGTTATTTATGTACATGTATTTAACTATAAGAAAAATAAAAAACATCTTAACGAAAAATATACTTCAACCGTTCATTATAGGTGAGCTTCCCATCAGGTGGGCCTCCTTCTCCCCATACGACATAAAATACATACGACAAATCCAGGAAAATACTTTTACTTACAAAAAACCGCCATCATTATGAGTACCATACAAAAAAAAACTTTAACTGCCACCCGAATAAAAATTCAAGTTTTTAACATTAATTTCACAATCAAATGATTATCTCATTTTGGCAATTTCCTTAGTGCGATCTAACTAAACAGAAATCGTCAGAAAAAATTATTTATAATTAGTATCGTTTCGCGGTTAAAAATGTATAATAAATGTATGTACAAATGTATTTGGTTATATTTTCAAAACATAATCAAAACCATTTGTACAGATTACAATTTTCAAAAATTTCTGGGAATTTGTGCGTACCATGATAAACGTGACCAATGTGCTGCCGATAAACTTGTTTTCGTCACTGGGATGTTCCAACTGTTATCGCAGTTCAGTTGTCAGCCAACTACATCAATAAATGTCATACTTATTTTTATAATGCCTAAATAACAGTTTTTTAATTAGTTCATACGATTGTTTCTACGTTACAATTCTCCATAAATATCCCATTTTAAACATCTTCGTCCGTGGGTCTGTTTTGTTTGTACCGGCTGTTTTTTGAAATGACTGAAATAATTTTACCAAAACTTTCGCAGGCAGGCTAGGGAGAAGTCAGCTTGTTTTATTGTTGTAACATATCACATTTTAAACATTTTTGTCTGTCGGTCTGTATATTTGTTTGTACCGGCTGTTTTTCGAAATGGCTGAAATAATTTTACCAAAACCTACGCAGGCAGGAAGAAGGATAGGAAGAAGTCAGATTGTTTTGTTGTAGTAAAAGAATTAGGGTGCCGCGCAAAAGTTGAAACCCATGAAACTATGAATAATATTCGACTCAATGGTCAGTTTCAGCTTGAATTTGTGAGAAATACCTAATGGTTTCAATAATTAAGGACCCGCACCAAAAAATAAGGTAAATGTAATTATATTTCCTTCTTAATAGTTTACCTCCTTCAATAATAAAATCACGCGTTAATATTGCAAAATCATCACTGAAAATTTTGACATAAACGCTATTAGATTAAATAATAAAAGAGATTTATTAAAAGCAAACCGTTCAAAATGGGAATGACTATAAATCGAACGGGCTAAAGCTCAGGTTTATTTCCGTCAAATCGATTTTATGTCGATTAGTCGATATAATCGATCATTTATCGATCTCGTTAAATCGAATAACCATTAATTTTATACCGCTATCGAGGGGTTCGACATGCAGTGCAGACCTTTGAAAGAGTAAAGTACTTAGGCCAAAACGGTTGTTTCTTCACCTATCTCGTGGGGAGCTTAATAAACTTTCACGTCATAAAAGCTTACACAGACGATGTAGATAATAAAATGAAACCTACTGGCCAAACAGTGTTAAATATTTATTGGACCAGATGGCAATATAAATCTCTGCGTAGTCGATGTACATACAAAAAATATACCAATCGAATTGAGAACCTCCTCCTTTTTAAAGTCGGTTAAAAATGAAAGAATACTAAAACCTTTTTTACCAACCTTCGAGCAGAATGGAACTTATGCTGAGATTTATGATCCGATTTACGTGATTCTCTTTTATTTTGGTGACAGATTAGTTGACATTTGGTCGTAGGAACGTGGTCATAGGAACTGTAATAAAACGACGCAACCCCGTCGAGTTTGGGCACATTTGAATCGTATTGACAAGTAGTTTGTCTTTCAATGGTATCCAGGGTCTGATGAGGGAGCTGTAAGGTGGTCATAGGAATTCTGTACCAATTTTGATGATTCTTTTTTTATTTGAAAGCTGGTGCTCTCCGTGTGGCCCCATTTCAGTTCATTTTTTTTTGGTTCAGTCCAGACAACAGCATCCATGAGAAAGCCATATAAGTCTTAAATTTGCATTAAGTAAAATAGACGTATTGCAAATAGACGAATAACTCTATATTACGCCAACCGATTTTGATGATTCTTTTTTATTGGAACGGAAGAAGGTTGGATGGTTGTATGGGATGCATGAAAAAGTAACGGAACGTTTCAATTCTTAGGAGCTTTCTTTTATAGGCTATCCGGATATTTGAATCACCTATCGAACGCCGTTACGGTCAAATAATTGTCGTAGTCGAATACGGACACATTCTTTTTACAAAACATTCTCTAGTCCCAAACTAAGCAATGCTTGTAGTATGGGTACTAGAAAACTGATAGACATACTTAAACATAGTTTTCTTTTGTAAATAAATACACATTATACATATATAAACACCCAGACACTAGAAAAACACTATGCTCATCAGACAATATTTTTCCAGTAGTGGGGATCGAACCCACACCCTCTGGCGCAGAAGGCAGGTACACTACCGACTACGCCATTCGGGTCGGCAAAAAACGATTTATTTATTTACAAAACCTTACACTGTTATTACAGGTACTTAGGAGTACACAATACATAGGAGTATACAAATAGGAGTATACAATAGTGCAGCAATCTTTAACAGTACTTATTAATTATATCCACTACTCCATAAATTGTTAAATTTTGTTAGAGGTTAGGTAGGTTACGTTATATAGGTTAGATTTTCACGATTAGATTATATTTAATTTTGTGTTATTTTATGTATGTATTTACATCGATTACGCTGAGATTTACGATCCGATTTACGTGATCCTTTTTTAGTTTTGTGCAGAATAGTTTATATATGGCCCAGTAGTTTCCATTTTATGAACATTTCTTTGTACGATGTAATTTAAGTTTGCGTACGGCTATTTTAGGAGTTTTAATTTAGGTTGATTATATATTTTTATTGCAAAGCGGAACGAGCGTGCGGAGCAGAGGAACTGAGAAATATTACAACCAATACGACTGCATAAGATCTGAATGAAGACTGGAATGACCAAATGGCAGATCTTTCAATCATTGAAACGGCAATAAAAAAAATATTCGAGACTGTGTGTAGTCCCGATGGTTATGTGCATTTAAACATTGCAAGAAAATTCACCCGCTTACAAATTCTTAATTTCTGGTAAACTTCTAATGTTGAAAAAATTATGAGTAACGGACGTGGTATCAATAAATAAAATATTAATCAGCTAAAAACTCGAGAAACATACCTGATAAAAGAATCACCAAAAGCAATTTAATTTAAAACAGATTTCCTTGGTAATTCTGTGACCACCTGTAAGCTTGACGGAACATTTAGTTCCCCTGTGGCTGTCAGGGAAGCCAGTAACACCAGCGAAACTAGTCGTTGTTCAGTTCCTATGACATCTCAATCAATGAAAATCAGATTTTCTTATAATTTTTTTTATAGTGCTAATTTCTGCACGTAAGATTGAACATTAAAATTTGTAGAAAAAGTACGAAAAGATTGTCGCCAATGTGGGAATCGAACCCACGTCTTCGGCATTCGCGAAATTGTTCAGTCTTAAGTGCAGAGATTAGTACTATAAAAAATAAAACTTCTAAGAAGCAATGGCGACATCTCTCGTTCGAATTATTTTTGTATCCTGGAAAGGATATAACAATGGATGCGCCAAGCATTGCTTCAAATGCTAAAAAACAATGTAGATAAAAAACGTTAAGATTTTCGTCGGTATGGCAGTCAGCCGTTTAGTTTAGTGGCTAAAGTGTCAGGCCGCGAATGCCGAAGACGTGGGTTCGATTCCCACAGCCGCGACAATCTTTTTGTACTTCTTCTACAAATTATAATGAAATTCAGAATTTTTATAATGGTCTCAGTAGTGATGATGTGGATACAATAGAAAATGACGTAGATGGACTGGATATGGTGGATTTCGAAGTCCAATTTGATGATGACGTCGAATAAAAGCTCTCTATATGTTTTAGTTTACATATTTTGTGAATAAAAGCTTTATTACGATAATATAAATACACACTTTCATTTATATGAGTAAATTCCTGGGTTGTGGTTTTTTGCATATGGGAAAAACTATAAATTATTAAATGTTGAAAGGAACCACATGCACATTTTCTTAATTATCTCGAATATTTAAGAGCAAAATATACACTTACTTAAATAGGTAATTTCTCAATAAATTAAACCAAAATAAATAACTATTTTATGTCATCTAAAAGAGCTGCACATATACATATATATAAATGTATATATACAGAGTGAAATGGAAGTCATGTCCTTTTAAACTAAGACACCATACATGATACTAGTGACATTAAGACTAAATATTGTCGTCACATTTTAATACTTTATTATTCCAAATAATCAAAACAAATAATAAAAACACGTAACGAAGTAATAGGTCAATAAACTGTAGAGAAAATTACGTAATAATTCAAGTTTAATGCCCTTAGGTACGGCCGGTATATATATATCTATATTTATATAAATATAAAGAATATATATGTACGAGTATATATACAAAACAATTTATTCGTGCATAAATAGAGTCTAATAGAATAGATCTAGAATAGCCTTAAAGATTTTTAAGGCATTCGTCAATCTGACTGGACATCATGAATAATGACTTAGTCCACACCATACGAGTACTTGTAAATGGCCTGGGGTTTATACGCAAACAATATGCTCGGCTCGTTCAACTGGGTTTTCTCAACACATTATTCGTTATCAACTTCGTGTCAACATCGGGGTTAAAGATAGCCCCTGTCATAGGTTCAAGTCTCCATTTGGACACAATTATAAACAGTGATTTTGTGCGCACGCATCAGTCTCGATAGAAGAACAGTACGGTGAACATGTATCGTCTATTTGCGTGCGCACTCCTCCTCAACTTGGTTGCCGGACATTTCTGGCATCACGACCACAACCATGGCTGCGGCGGCCACGACCACGGCCACGGCCGCTGGGGTCACCACTGGGGCCGCCACCACCAGGAAGTCAGCGACTACGACAGACTCTCGCAGTGCCTCGGCGCCGTCGACCAGATCATGAAGACCAGTTGCGCGCAGAGCCCGTACAGCAGGACCAAGGAGTTCGTGGGCACCGAATTTTACTCGCTGAAGTACAGCCTCCAGGAGTTCCCGCAGGACAGCATTTCCGTCAAGGTGAAGAACCGCGCGGTGTACGTAACAGCAACCCAACCGGGAATACCGGACTTCAAAGACTTGAGGGTCCTGCCGCACTTCGTCGACGTGTCTCGTGCCAACTGGTTCGTTGAAGACAGTTTGCTCACAGTTCTGTTCCCTTACAAGAACCAGCACCAAGACGGACGTCGCATTGGGTTGCGTCGACGGCGACAACACCGAAATCGTGGTGCCCAAGCAGACTGTTTCGTCGAATGATCTAAAGTTCTTAGGCAGTAATCAGTAACGGAAGCTACTCCTCTGAAGGGGGGTGGTTCATTACAGTTTGTATTCTTTCTGTAACTCATTATGTTTTCTTTATATAAATAAATCCAATTAATTTCAAAACAACTTTATGTTTTATTTACAACCGACTTCAAAAAGGAGTTTCTCAATTCAAAGCAGGAAAGCTTTTTAGCAGGAATTCAGGAAAGCTTTAATTCATAATTGCCTTTATTCTTAAATTTATGCTTAATAGTCTTAAATGTACTGATAATAATATCACCCAAATTAATTTTAAAGGTCTTAGCTTCCAAATTATAAAATTTATGACATACATAAATATGTCTTAAATCAATTTACTTGTGCACAAATAACTAATTTAACTTATTCAATAATTAGAATATGCGCTTATTTTAATTTAACATTTACGTAATAAATAAAAAAAGATCTTAATGGTGCCACCTTGATAATGATCAAAGTTACGCTATGCGATCTATTGTCGTAGGTCTAGCATAGCAGCGTGAGCGCCATCTGACTTAAATGTGGGAATACAATGTGTAAAGTATAATAATGTAAAGAGTAACGGTGGCAGGGCCACGCAGCAGCCTCGGCTGTTGCACGAATGGGCAGGCACGTCCGGGTAAGTAACACGACCTCACAGAAGACCAGCGTAAAGTGGAAGTATGACAAATACTTTCGCGTTTCGTCTGGTGAGTAAGGTAGCCGGAGCCCAATTTTCAAAAGGTTGTCAACGCATCTGTAACCCTCCTATTCACTTACCATCAGGTGAACCGTTTGCTCGTTTGGTAACTTTTCAAATGAAAAAAAGAGTAACTTGCAAAACAATTAATCACTTATTCGAAACGCTTATAAAGTTAATTAAGCTACAGTTTTGGAGGATCAGCGCGATCGTGACATCGTTCTGATATTTGATATCTACTCGTACTTTACGCTGTTGGTTTATCAACTATCCAACTAGATCTAACCGGCTGAATTTTACCCGATCTGCGCTGAACAGAGTGGCTTTGATCCCCACTACCGGAGAGATATTCTAGTTGTTTATATAATGTAAAAAGTATGTTGAATTGTGCTTTTCCAGATTGGACTAGATATTATAGTTTAAAATGTGCACAGAAAGTTAACGAGCATAAATTATTAAGTGAAATATAATCGGGTTATTGAATTGCCTATAATAATTATTAGTCTCGTAACTTCTTATCATTATTTCCAATCTCAATACGCATTGGAGTAGAATGCACTAGTGAGCACTTTACATTAGTAAATTTAATTATGTCTACGTATCTTATCGTTGTTATTTTAAACTCGATTGCCCGACGTTTTGAAACGTAAGGAATTTAATTCTAGGGCAATATTAAAGGTTTTCATAACGGGCCAGTTATAGACATTGCCAATGAAAACATTTTTTTTAAATTTTGAATATACATATAACTCTTTGGTAACCTAATGTGATATATTGCATTATATATGGACGTTTTACAAACATAAATTTCAAATGTACAAAAACCCAGATGCGAAAAAATTGTCCTGTGTGAGAATCGAACCCACGACCCCCGACACCAAAGCCTTTGCAATGTCTTTGCAACAAATGGCCTATTTGCTACAGCGCCACGGAGTCCTTAAATAGTCCATAATGTTTGAGGACTCCGTGGGTCCGTCACCGTCAATGCGATGGGGAAATGTTGTAATCGATGGCATTTTTTTTTTCTATGAGCAAACATGCTGTAGGTACATGGCAACACGAACAAATCACACGACGACATGCGGTCCCATCTCTGACCGAACCTTTACAGTCTTGTTTTGGCTGACCTAGGTTACAAGTCTATGTAATTTCCAAAGTTTACTGATCTTTAGCTTACTCATAACCCAAGGCTTGGGTAAGCTGAAGGATATTGTCTCAGTCTGTGAAGGTGGCTTATGTTCAGCAGTGGACTAGAACAGGCTGAAATATTGGTGATGAAGAAGAGATGTCATTTATTTTTACAAGTTTCGTTGGGAACATGATTTCTGGTAGTTTTAATTTCAATAAAAATATTATATACTTGTAATAAAAGTTAAGCTGCACTGTATAAACACTTAATTTAAATAAATTTACTATATTTAAATAAAATATTGATATTGAACGTATTGTAAATATGGTTAGAATTTAATTATTTTCTTAATATATAAATTAATCTAATTAACATCTTAAAAATTATATCTAGCTACTATAAGCAAACTTAAATAACATTCAAATGATAAACAAATACAAAATATATACTAGAACAATGGAACTAAAACTAAAAACCTTAAAAAAATAATAAAATAAAATATATCATTAAAAGGAGTCCCTTTCGGCAAGGTTCCGAAGATACTGGCAGCGTTCCCCCTTTGAATAGCTAGACTAATTCTTTGTCCGAGGTAGCTGCCAGCTCTTCGGTCTCCTGTGATGTCGACTAACCTTTTTGCTATTTCCTTAAAAAGCCTTATAGCGCTAGGACCCCACGGACCAAGGGTCTCGGCACCGAACGGGACAAATTCATATTCGGAGCCTAAACCGCTGTATTTGCGGGGTTAGCTTTTTCAGCCACTTCACAAGGCGCACTAGCTCTGTTTTTGGTTCCATGTAGATGGGAAGGGGCCAGCGTGAATCAAATTCATATCGTCCAGTCTCTTGTCATCGTCTCTTGCAATACCGGTCGGCTCAAGTAGACTTGGCACGGTGACGGTGGCAAGGGACCTGCGTGTGACATCGTTAAGCGCGGCATATCTCGTGAAGCGGCCTGCACTTTTTTGGCATGACAGTCCATGATGTCGCTAGCTTGTCGACATCACTGCCACAGGTACCTTTGAGGAGCGCAGACCAGAACCCCAAGCCGTAGACAGGGTGCGATTCGGATCGTGTCAGGCTGAAGAAATGTTCCTGAGAATGTATTTGACGAAGGGTACGTTTGAAGCCAGTAGCCAGCCACATGCACACCCACGGCCAAAAGGCTAGTACGCGCCGAAGCTGTATTACATAATAATAATAATAATAATAATAAAATATCTTTATTCACATAGACGCTTGCGCGTTCTTATGAAACGTCAAAATTTTACAAGAAATTAACACGTTCGTAAGGTACCACCGGTTCGGAAAGCAGTTTCTGTTGAGAAGAAACCGGCAAGAAACTCAACAGTTGCTCTTTTTAAAAAAATCAGTTTACAGCTCAAAAGATTGTCATAAGTCAATTTGTAGTTTATGCCGTCCCAACCCTTCTGTGAATTAGGAGAAATTGGAAAATTTTGACTTGGGCATGCAATTAAGAAAGCCCTTCTAGCTTTTTTCAAGGCCAGCAATCTCAAAGTTTGTAAAGGATCTTCTTAAAATTTTACTGGTTAGAATTAATTAAGTAACATCAGGTCACTATTGCTGAAGCTGAGGGTACAATTTATATGTTTACCATTAAAGTAACATGTTACAAGGTGTGCTGTGTATTTATAGTCTAGTGTTTCCATTAGAGGCTGCAAACTCAGTTTAACGTTATTAATGTTGAACGTCGTCGCCAGAAATTTGGAATGTAAATTCGGGATAGATTGTCAGTGTTATAATATGATTTGGCTTCTGTATTTCAAAGGATATTTATTTTATGTACAGTCAAGGTAACTATTGAATGCGTGGGGTGTAGAGATAAGGAGGACAATATAATCTGTGAATAAGTCTAAAAAATGTCGAAATCTTACAAAAATTACTCTAGCTTAGTAAAGGTTTATGATTATCAATCTAGACGAGTTGAATTTTCGTAGCCATATTAACCTTGGTACCTATTTATTCAACACCTCTAGCCTAGTATCAGCTACCTGCCACCATAGTTCAACCAATTTAACACTTTTCGGGGGACATAAATTTTATACACAGTTTGTGTGCTCCTTACTTCTCCCATGATTACGTGGAATGTAATTTTTATTAATGAAAAAACAACAATTTTCTTACTGGGATTTGAAAGGAATAATTTGTGTATTAATATAATTTTCTATTATGCTATTTATTTTAGTTATTAAGTTAGGCAAAATTAAATGTTTTAATTAATTTTGTGGCACTTATATAAGATGATTTTGCTGCTGACTTTGAACCAAATATGGCTCGAATCTTTTCGATTTAAATATTTTAATATGCACATTGCCCTCAGGTTTTTTCTTTTAGGAAAAAGGACGAACTAATTAATACTGAGAGATCTGAAGCACTAGTCCAATTGTAATTGATACAAACTACCTTACAGTTAATTATGTTGATGTCATTTGATATTGTAGCATCAAATCGAAATTTCATTAATTTAATGAACAAAAATATTTACCATATCAAGTACAAACTAAATTAATCATAATTAAGAATCAAATCTACTTTAAGCTAGTGTAATTTACCTAAGCTCTCACTTAAAATGAATTTAGTTCGATAATGTTGAAGTCCCGGGTGTGAGCGTCATTGCTTCTCTTATGATTAATTTTATTTTTAGTGCTAGGCTGTATTTAAATAGAAATTTAAAATGTGAATATTTTACGGATCAACTAGCGAATTCAACGTTGTCCTGTACACACTTCTGAAATCTGACAATAAATTAAAAATTTTGTTAAAATAAAATTTTGTGGTGGACCGAATTGTGAATCTACACTCTCGGATCTACTTGAAAAATATATAAAACAAAAGAATTATACCTAATATGGCTTAAAATTTAACACAGATTTATTCTTGTAAACCGTAAATTACGTAGATAGACTTAATTAATGCCTCTCCTATCCCGACCCAAAAATATAATTACTTTTGGTTTTATCTTTAACGAAACAGAGTTCAAGTGAAATTATTAACCCTTAAGCCGCGCCTTTTGTTCAATCTCTCGCGTTCTTTGATGAAATATTTGTTACTACCAAAAAAATACAAGTTGTTTGTTGACGAGCAACTTTTAAATGAATGTGTAAGCTATGTTATGGTTAGACCTTATTCAAATTCCGTTATTAAATAT